GGCGTCTGAAATGTTCGAAGGTCTACCAAAGGGATAACCCTCCTGGCTAGTCACAAGTATTACCACAGGGTGATCGGCGTAAACTTGGGTTAGCAGCACAGTTTACTAACACTGCGCTAATGTCAAGCAAACCACCCTACCGCCGTGGCTCAGGTATCTACGATTCCTGGCAAATGTCGTTGGCCAAGCGCCAGATATGAACGGTCTTTCATCAGACTCTACCAATCCAGAACTGGCATTCAATGTGCAGAACAAATGTGCACGCCTACGCACATAAGATCTCTACTTTGTTCTCTCAAATTCCAAGTCTCTATGCATGTCACAATTCCGTCCAGTTCCACATCAGCATACGCAGAAATTCGTTTCTACCTTCCGGAAAGCCGAGAAGCCCAAAGTCGTAAACTTTCATGTCAAAAACTGTCTATGGACTTCATGTCTTCAATTAGCTCACTTTTCACAACTCGGCCAGTGTAATGAAATGAATTTGAAGGGCTGGAATCGGGATGAATAGATAGGCCACATCTTTGTGTTTGAACAGCCCGGGGCTAATGCATCTCTGGCTATTCTTATGCGACTTTCTTTTAGGAAGTGGGGGGGGGGGGGAGGGGGGCGCTTCAGCAAAAAAGAGCACCAACACCACTAATACTACAACGATCACATAATGCATCAGAAACAGCGAGGACCAACAAGACCAGCGCAGCCGTGTTTGGCTTTATCTCTCCCAACTGGCGTGCGGGTGACCATGAATCATCCCACGTCTCTGTGCAGCGCAGGTGACGGGGCTTACTGAGCTTCACAGAGCTAGCTAGACGCTTAACTACGTCTGAAATATTTACAGGTGGGCATTCCGTTGGATTTCGATGGTTATGCAGCAGGGAATGACGCATCCTCCCGTTGCGTGGAATATAGTTAAGATAGTTTTGTATCACCTCTGCCTCGCGATTCGATCTGTCCCTCACTAGTCTTAGAGGAACGACTAGCTGCTCTCTCTCAGCGTACTCCTCGATGGGATCCCTATCAGCGGATGTCTCGAACAGCCACTCAGTGTGCGCTGGTTCTGTTCGGTCCACCAGGAACCAGGGTGACGGCCAAACTGGGTCATTAAGCTGCGCCTGTTGACCGACGTGCACGGGAAAGGCGGGCTTTCGCAGTCTGATTTTCTCCGGCATTGTGCTGTTAAGAATTCTTTGCACCACTTTGGCCTTTTCGGCTTTAGGAGCCCCGCTGCTAAACGAAGCCAGGACTGCAGTTTTTTTACAGTGAAATCACAAGCGTCGGTATATTGTTTTCATGTAGGCATCAGCTGCTCTTTGTCTACCCGCGGTACTGGTATTGGTCTTCATTGGCAGGAGCGCTGGCAGTGGCCGTGGCTGTCATCCGATGGGGTATAATAGCCATGGCCATGACGTAGACGATGACGTAGTCGATGACGTAGACGATGACGTAGACGATGACGTAGACGATGGCGTGGGCAAACGCTGCAACTGTAAAGCGTTCCAACGCCATCCATTGCTCCTTGGCGTAGGCAAGCTGATCCCTCCAGGCAAACTACTTGAAGCCATAACCCACCTAACGAACCGATGGTTTACCTCAGGTCGGCGCCAGCAGACACCGAAAGGTATAGGTTCTGTCAACGGCGGATGCCGACATCTACATGGAGCATGTCGAAAACTATAACGATGGGAACTGCACCAATTAAACTATCCGTGTGACTGAGCTACATAGACGGGACATTCGTTATCTAGCAACACCAAGACGACGTAACGACATTCCTCGACCACATTACCAGTTTGCGATCATCTAATAAGTTAAAAGTGGAACAAGAGGATAATAACAGTTACATTTCCCTGATGTACAAGTCGAGAGAACCGCCAGCAGGTTCAGGAAATCGGCGCGCCGGAATTAACAACAACTGGTCCCGACCTTGACTTGCAGCCACACCATCCAGACACAGTCAAGGAATACACTATAATACCTTCAGCGTATTACATATATCATCAGCTGTGATGATGCAACATGGAACAGAGAAATAGACCACCTAACCGAGATGTTCTGCAGAAACGGTTACACAAAATGGTTTATAGACCAGGAGCCCAGTTGCTATGCGTAGTCAGCAGAGAACCCAAGACAAAAATAACAGCAATGATATCACCACCTCGCAATAAGGGCTTGCACGAGAAGCTCAGAAAAATCCGTGAATGATACAACACCCGAGCAGTCTTGGGAGCAGCTCAACGCTCCGCAGAGAACTTGCCAAAGTCAGACCTCGGATGCCTGTGGAAAAAGAGCTGCATGTACAACATGTCACGCAGCTGTGGCAGGTCATACAAAGAAGAGACAAGTCGCCATCTGTCAGTCAGGCTGGAAGAGCACGAAAAGGCAACCTAAGTTTTCTTTCTGTAGCATAAATTTGCTAAATTTTCTGTAAGGTAAGTTGTTAAGCCTAGTTTCTGTACGTTAAGTTGTTAAGTTTTCTTTCTTTCGTAACCTAGGCTGTTCGTCCCCTCCCAGTTAGCTCGGTTGGTAGACCGCTGGACTGGTGATTAACAAACCCTGGTTCGAAATCCAGCAATTCCAAGACGGAAATTCAGAGTGTTACGCACATGCCTGAAAACCAAGTACTACACACACTCTTCAGGGTTCAATAGCACCTGACGGTGCCCATAAGAATGAACTGGTCAAAACATTGTACTTCGGTAATTTTGCGACGAAACTTGTAGTTTTTGTGATCCTATAATTTAAATAAAGTCACAAAAATTGCGATTCACGATAATTTTACGGAGATGAAAGGCTTAGCTCTTAGCTGCTACGTTTATGATGGCGGCGTCGTTCTAATTGGGTCGGTCATGGGCAGTCTGTTTTGACCAGTACTCCTATGCTAGTCAGCCGAGGTCGCTCGAATTGACATTGGACGTAGCTTCTAGGTTTAAGCCTCACCACTTTCTTTAAAAGTTCATCTCACTATTTTCAGCTTGCTTACCTTATCGCATAACTTAACGCCATTTGGGAGATATCAACACCACGGCGCAGTCTTAGACAATTTCGAAAGGTTTTGCGCTTTTCTTAGTAACATGCTGAATAAAGCTTTGGCACATATTCATTTGAACAACAAAGCATGGGAAAATTGAGGGAGACTTGGAATTTCAAGAAAATTTTGCTTTTTAATTGATTTACTGCACGTGGGATATTCCATGGAAAATCGGCAGGTGGCAGGACCAAAATAACACCCCATGTTTAGGATTCGTTGAAAATATAAATATTGAACTGTATTACATCTGAAATTCAGCTGTGAAATTTTCCGAAACATCAGAGCAACAGCTAACCGGTTATGGTCTCGGGCATTTCCAGACGGTCAACTAATAAGCGAATCTTTGACAAGATATATATTATACAATTCCGCACTGGAACTCAAATGCGACTTTGCATCGGCCGGCTGTCTGGCTCCTGGCATAGTCTGATCCTGAGGCTGCACAAAGGCTTGCACCATTTGCAGCGTGGGGCTCATTCACGTCTTTGATAGGCACATCGAAAACCAACTTACATCCTTTCACAGGTTTCTTGCGCCATTGACATGGGCCACTACACAGTAGACACAAAATCGCATCAATTGTGTCAATCCAACATTGGCCGAGCAAGGTCTGGCGGAGAGTTACAACACCCGAAGCAGCACAGCCAGGCAGTGTGAACGCCGGGCGTCACCAATACGAGGCTATTCTTTATTTTTGCCCAGCCGGATGGAATGGCCTAGCCCTTTTCCTTCGCAGCTTTTTATTTTCGAGGCGTGAGAAGCGAACTAATAAACAGCTCATGAACAATTCGGCCATGAGCGGAGCATCGCTGACAGATGCTCTCTTTCTAATTAATTAAAAGATCAACTTATCAATATATATCCATTCATCGCATCAGCGTCCCCAGACTGGCAGATAGACTGCACCTCTTTTCAGCCCCGTGGCATGGCCACTGTCACACAGCGGGGCCTCCGTCCAAATCAGGAGCGTGGATGTTCCCATTACTTGATCTATGTGTGCTTGTTTTTATCTTACCGCAGCGACGTCTCCGTTCATTTGTGTGGGGTGTGACGCTTTGGCATTCTTTAATGACAACAATAGTCTACATTGATCTATAATTGCATCGCGTGGCATGCTTGACCACAGGGGTTTTTGCTTCAGCAGTATTCCATTCCACACATATCACTTCTGAGTACGATTTGAGTTGTCGCGAAAACGGCTACGCATGCCATGATTTCAACATCTATGCAGTATTTTAGAGTGAAGGCGTATTTATTTGATTTTTGCTCTTGATAGAAAAGCCATCGCTTATGATTTCTGCAATTCACAAAATAGCATCGCGGCAGCGCAAAATATAAAAAAATGTCACGTGCCTATTTATTAAGTCTCAATTTCGAAAATCTGGCTAACAAGAACTGGAGATAGCCTGAAGATGCACCGGCTCATGACGACTCCATCGCTGTGTGGGTCTATACTATTCTAACAGTTATTTATAGAGTTGTAAGCCCTCAAAAGCACCATTGTTGGTCGGCTTAAAAAAGCCCAAGGCTATACCTCTTCAGCCTTTTCCCTAGCCTGTCTGATAATCGCACGGTGGTTGTCAGGGCATACAACTCCCTGGAAGAACTGCTATCAAATTATAAAGAATGGGTGCTGTAGGCCAGCCGATTGATCATAAAATTTTCCACATATTTGCTTCTCACATCATTACCCTACACCTGCACCCGATCCTGCTGATATATAGTCCATTGATGAGATGCATAGACATCCTACCTGTCTGTGCGTGACACCTGACAGCTGTCAAGTGTGGAATTAGACCACGCCCGATACATTTAATGAAAAAATCCCCAAGTACTAATGTCGCCGGCACCTCCCCTTCCAGCACTGGCGTCTGCAGTGGCGTAACCGGGGCTAGCGGCGCAGGTTGGACGCGGACCGGCCGCCGCCGCCACCGCCGCCGCCGGCTCACTCCGTCCAGTCGCGCGGCGGCGGCGGAGGCAGAGGGTGCAGTATCGCAGGCGGCGCCGCCGCTTGGCTGAGGGGGACGCCCCGAGGGCAGCTGGCGACGTTCCGGCCCCTGCCCACCGTCGCCATCATAACAAGGTACCGTCACGTAACGCCTGGGCGCGCCTGGAGCCGGCCACACCGCGTTGGGCGGGGTGTTTGTGGTGGTGATGGGAGTGAGGAGATTGCCATCATGTTGGGTGGCACAGTTACAGTCAGGCACCAAAGGGACACAGCTGGATACGATAATTGTTTAGGTTAAGTTGATGCCGTCTGATGCTTTCAGTGAACAATTGCTAGTGTGATGGAGGATGTCACAGGCGTAGGTCAGATTTGGTCTTGTTGACGCTTTTCACAACACATCGACGTGGGCAGTTCCGCCGGATGCCACATATGTGAAAGCTTGGCAATGGACTCAAGCAGCACGTGGAAAAATAGTAAATATCTCAACGCCCCTTCCCTCTCCCACTTCCGGAACATGGTTCCTTCGGTGATACCCATCAGCATTCAGGCAGCAAAATTAATAAACATCATCGTCATCCTTAAACCGATTCTGTAAAGCGAGAACTGCCTTCTTCAAGCACCAGGTGTGCAGGAGAAAACAGCTTCTTCGTCGGATGCTTGCAGACTACTCCATATTAAGCTGTTGAAAATTGGCTGCAACGGTTGAAACACACTGGCTACACGTGTCGTCTAGTGGCGAGATACGAGCAGGAGTTCACGCTAGCAGACAGCGGAGGTGACAGCCTCCATTTGGCCCCCTGTTTTCTGCGTCAATATCGCCGGCCGGTCTGTGGCCGACCAGGCCAAGGAAAATAATGGCCAGAGGCGGCCACAGCAGAGCACCCACACCCTAGCGAGCCCGGCGAGGACCACGACCGCTTGCTGAGCCGATCACCAGAGCCGTCGCTCCAACAGAGCACCCCACACCCCAGCGGGCCGGGCCAGGACCTCGGCCGCCCACTGAGCCCATGAACATCTCAACCGGGGGGGGGGGGGGGGGGGGGGCTGTCAGTGTTCGACAACTGCGAGCCCTGCCCAGTCCTGTATTGTGATTCGCAGTGGTTTCGGGAGAGGTGGCCTGGTAATAGCTTGTGCCCCAGTTCTCTAACGACAATTTGTCTGATCTGATCAGGACGTGTTCAGTTTTGGCTAATTGTGGTTTCGGCTTATTTTGCGAATATAATTTTTAATACTTCTTAAATATAGTTTTAATATAATTTTTCGGCTATGTTTCGGCTAATTGTACCTGATACACAAACGCACGTCAGAGTTGCGGTCAAAATATACGTGCACGCTAAGGAATCAAACGATGCCAACCTATCGCGCAGCCATGAACAGCAAAATGTGACGCCGCCGCCATCTTGGTCCTACGACTTGATGTCAGAAGATTGTGGATAGTTTGATGTGCTGATTACGCTCGCAGCGTGCTGTTATTTAGTCTACAATATTAATGAAGGCAGAGGGACTCTGTCCAGAAATGGATGGAGACGAGTTACCAACATGAAATTTCGTCTCACTAGACTGCATGAATGCTTTTTTTGGAAGGCTGCCATCGAACCCAGTTTTGATAACTTAAAGGTAGGGCTCAGCAGTTGTATGAGGTTTTGCAATGAAATAGCCACATTGAAGATCATTCGGTACAGTAAACAGCCCTAGCCTTCTTAGGACCGAAACCCTTCTAGTTTCTAAGTTTTACGCCCGCGAAAATGTGCAGACTTTTTCGGGCAGACTATTTTAAGATCAACCAGGTATCCGTGAGGCCGTAATAAGGTCATATCATTCCATACGCCGTGCGGCGATCAAAGCCAACACAAATATATTGTCGAGTCCTTCTTATCTGATGTTCGTAAGCACGATTTCCAGATATAACGGCCGTCAATTGGCTCTCAGCCAATATCGTACAATATACGATGACGCACTCTAACAGTGACGTGATGTGAAACATATTTGCTGTTCAGCGAATTCCGTTATGAAGAAAAGTTTGTCAGCTTTAACAGCACACCAATAGTTACAAGAAAGCTTTTTCCATCATATCTGCTGTTTGCCTTACATCTTCAAATGTGAAACATTTCCTTTAAATTAACCCGCACCCAGTCGGGTGGGGCGTGGGGTGGGGGTGGGGTGGGAAGCTGACTTCCCCCACGGTTTTTCGAGCGCGGTTCAAAAACGAGCATTCGCAACAATACAAAATTTTCAGTACCTGTTCATTTATCAATTTTGCATCCTTTGTGCGATTGAAGTTTTGATATACCAATTTCTGTGACCTTTGCTTGGTCAAAGAGATTTAGTTCTAAATAACTTTCATCACACACAAATTGTTCTGGGTCATTCGCTATTGTTCAGACTTGTCCTGGTCCATCAACATACGCCACATGATTGTCGGTGACGTCAGATTTGTTAGTTGCACAGCATTTATTCTTCCAAGAAAACGTTTTGTTCACTGTTCAGCAAAGTGCATCACTTCACCTCACGAGCTCAACATCAAACTTTAATTTGCTCTTGAAGACTGTTACGTCGTGTTTCGGACAACAACGCAAACCATGAATGCTCACAGCAAGCCGCAACAGCTCAACAACTGATTTTTCAGTTAGTTTTTCAGAAATGGGAACTAGGAGCGATGGGGGGAGGGGTGCAGGGAGGCGAAGCGGGTTAGCACTGCTCATCCATCTCACAAGAGGGACCGACTAGTGACGGACCCCCGTTTTGGTATTCGCAATTCAAAATCTGTATTCCGCCGTTGAAATATCACAAGTAGTCCGATACTTTATAAATAAGCGTTTTACATCGTCGTACCATCTTCAGCGGGCTAGTCTTGCCAGGGAATTTTTACATCAACATCCTACGAACGTACCGAACTAGTTTTCCTCTCTTGCCACGTTAGCGGTCAGTGAGTACGGGATTATAAGTAAACATATTTTCTCCTAAATAATGTCCATTTTCCGATACTCTCCACAGAAATGAAGCGTGTATCTAACATTGCACAAAGCAATGCAATCCTCGAGCTCAACACCCTTTGTGCCGGCACGAGCGGGGCAGCAGGCCATGCCCGAGCCAGACACGCTCATCCTACTGGGGCGGTCACTGATCGCAGTCTACGGTCATATCTCTGCAGGTGCGCCGTGAAGTTTTCAGAAATATACAGCCCATTTCTTTAAAAGTTGTGCTGTAATGTTTACAAGACTTTTAAATGCATATACACCTTGCTTTATTGAACGGCTTGTTTTTCACATCATCAACGCGTCACTTTCCCGTTCGATTAACAACGAAATGTCACCGCATTCTCAAATTACAAACAAGGCCGAAAGCGCGGAGCAGCAGAGGTGCACGTTCCGACGACTGGCGACCCATAGCTCCTCAGTTCATGTCAGCGATCTGTACACTTCAAATCGGGATGTAAAACACCAAAGATGCGACTGGAAAGATGAATTAGACACCTAAGTCCATGGTAACATGGCAACAGGATAAGAAAGACACGAGTGTACTAGCACCACTTTGACCTGGCAAAAACTTATTTGTGACAGAGGAAACTGCAGCCATACCAATGCGTCACACATTGCAGCCAGCAGCATCCCAACTAGCATATCGTATAACCCCATTCCAATAAGCTACACTCATTCTCCGCGTGGTCTTGGTCAGCGCCACGTAGATCGTCTGCGTGATGTCTGCAATTTTTCTCCAAAGAGATGGTCGTAGATTTGGCTCAGTCATCCGTTTTGTGCTGGTTGCTGTGCCCGGCGGGCCTGGTGACACAGTCTACGGTCCGACCGGCCTGGTGACGCAGCCTACCCTCCGACCGGCCTGGTGACACAGCCTACGCTCGTACGGGCCTGGTGACACAGCCTTCCGTCCGACCGGCCTGGTGACACAGCCTTCCCTCCGACCGGCCTGGTGACACAGTCTACCGTCCGACTGGCTTGGTGACACAGCCTACCCTCCTACCGGCCTGGTGACACAGCCTACCCTCCTACCGACCTGGTGACACAGCCTACCCTCTGACCGGCCTGGTGACGCAGCCTACCCTCCTACCGGCCTGGTGACACAAAGTACCCTCCTACCGGCCTGGTGACACAGCCTACCCTCCGACCGGCCTGGTGACACAGCCTACCCTCCTACCGGCCTGATAACACAGCTTACCCTCCTACCGGCCTGGTGACACAGCCTACCCTCCTACCGGCCTGGTGACACAACCTACCCTCCTACCGGCCTGGTGACACAACCTGCCTTCCTACCGGCCTGGTGACACAGCCTACCCTCCTACCGGCATGGTGACACAGCCTTCCCTCTGAGCGGTGATGGTGCGGCCGACGGTCGTTTGACCAGGACACGCAGTTTCTGCTGTCCACCACCGCAGTTCCCACTGCTCGCGGACACGGGCGTTAACCTCTGCCCAGTGATGAGGGGCCCGACCCGTCCACCCGGATCCGACGACGTGCTTGACGACGACACACGCAGAGCTCTGATGCATTTTCAAGGAAACTAGCATGTGGTAAAAGAAGCAGTGCTTCATCTCTCGTTCTCCGTTTCATCCGTTCATGGCCGGTGAGCCCAAGCCGCTTTAGACGCTCACCTTTGCCCCCAGACCTACATGGCCTGCGGACGCTGGTAGCGGCACGTTAAATGTCAGGTTGCCGAGCATTGCGGTACATGAGCCTTCGCCGTGAAAGTATGTTGTTGACTCCGAATTTCACGATGGGACGCTGGGGTCAGGACTCAGGCAAGTTGTACTGTTAAGCGTGGGCACTGATTCGAGAAATTCATCCAATCAAGAGGCTCGGACTAAATCTTTTACAAAAATGATGTTACAGGCGCAAGCTCATCTCCAAAATTATGGAAACAAAGATCAAATGGCGCTTAGGTGATGCAGCAACACACGATGAAATGAACATATCCAGTGGGGCAATCGGAACAGCAAGACAAATACACCCCAGGTAGCTACATAAATGTATGAAAATTCAGGTGAAGCTACCCTTTACAAAGGTTAGCAGGGTTTGCGTAGCGGTCCATGTCGAGCAAGGGCCGCTCGTGGCAGTGAACCTGTCTGAGTACGACGCACACGATAAGCCCAACGGGCCGCCGAGCAGCGGCGTCTTTACACG